GCCTTCTGCTTCAGCCGCTGCCCGGAGCTCCTGTGCGAACAAGCAGCGTGCGGCACCGCGCTCAGTAACGTTTTTATTAGCGTTTGCCACAACAGCGGGAGGAAGCAGCAAACGGAATTGTACCTGCAGCCGTCTCAGCTAGGAGCTGGGTGAAGGTAGCTCTGAACCGCATTTATAACTGTATATACTATATATATACTCCTTTATCTTTCTGATGCTTTTCAGTTACACGGAGAAATCCGAACTGCTCCTTTCCTACTCCAGTTAATACCAACCCAGCAGTGGCAGTCTCTTTACCCAGCCCTGAGTGAGCTCTAAAAGCTACCACACTCAAACTTTGTTTGACCTTTCTAAGTGTGCAAGCAAGCTGCGAACAGTTCAGGTTCTTGGGGACACCGCAGTCCCCAGAGCCTGGAACACGCTAAGATTTGCCAGTAACTCAAAGCCATTAAGTTGAAACGAAGAAAAAATGCTTACAAATGGTGGCACAGTGGTTAAACTAATGTAAGGGATTATGTTTTCTTTCAGGAAAAAGGACATATTCCCCTGATAGCTCCTTACTGATGCCAGAGTGTTCATGTCACGTATATTACAGATTCACCAAAAAGACCCCAAAACAAACCCACCACATACAGGTTACTGCTCTAAGCCAATCTTCTTCTATCATAAGATACTAACAAATGTTACTGCACTGTCCACATCTATGAGATTAAGGCAATGACTGACTCCTTTTCACATGATAATTCCCATAGATGTCTTTTCCAACCTAGCTGTTTCTGTGATTCTGTGACATGCAGCTTTTGCTGAGTAAGAATTCCTACCTGGAATTTTGCATTTAAAAGTTAGACTCCTACAATCATAGAATGGTTTGGGTTGGAAAGGACCTTCAGATCATGTAGTTCCAACCACCCTGGACACCTCTCACTAAACCATGTCACCCAAGACAACCCCAGTTGTATTACTTAGCCGCAGGATTACATTATCTGTTTCAACTAAGACCTCTTCATTAGTGGCAAACATCTATAGCAATCCAAAGAGTAAGTCACTAGAACAAGGTACCACAGTACCCTTCTACTAAGCCAACACAGAATGTTGCAGAATAACTGTCAAACAATGAGCCAAACAAAATTACAAAATGAATTTATTCCAAAAGCATAAGGGAACATGTACAATTCAACAGGATGGTAAACAGGTGTCTCCACAAGAGATTAAATATGAAACTGGGGGGAGAAGGGGAGAATTAACTACTTCTGAGGCCACAAGAACTTTGCACATCACCTCTGAAAACAGGAGTCCCCTAAAGAAAACTCACTCAAAATTCAAGGAAGAAAGCTGCTAGTACCTGGTTATTATCTAAATATAAGCTATGTTTAGGCTTTGAGATTACAGTTTTAAAGCCCTTCAAAACACAAATTACAGCCACAAGTGCAAAATGTATTTTTTCCCCAGTGGAAGCTTATTGCCAATCTATTGCCTATTTTCAGAGTGATATTTTGACCGCGCAAATTCATCCTTGAAAGCTTTTTGCCAAGTTTGTTGGGTTTAGTGACAAATCTGGAGTTTAGCACCTGGCATGTAATCAGAAACAGTCAGCTCACATGTCCTGGAATGTCCAAAGTTTGCTGCCTACTGCTCCGGAGTTAAGCAAAAATAGACTTCTAATTCAGCATCAATGTCTCTTACCTTTGACATATTTCTGGTATTCTGGCCTTCTGACTGTAGTGATAAATACCAAAGAGTATTAAGGAAGACACCTGAGTCAGATTCACAAGCTAATACAAATGGAACTAGGTGGGGAAACATCACTTTCAGGCATTTGTCTGTGGATATCAAATGGCTGGACAAAAAAAAAAAGGGGTAAGGAATAATCTTCATTCTTCTAAAGTCTAAGCTATTTTACATCAACACGCCCTGGAACACTTATTAAAATCCTCTTCCTCTGTCTCAACTTCTTTTTACTATCTGCTAATTCCTTTACAATGCTGAATGACCTGAGAAGTAAAAGTTTGAGTGGTGAGAATAAAAAAACCCAAAAGCATTGTGCTCTTACATTGTATTTTCTGGGTGTACACCAGTAAAATAAGAATCCCAAGTTGCTATGAGAAAAAAAAATAGCATGGAATTGCTAGCTTTTCCACCTGAATTGAACTACATAGCTGGAATTTTTTCAGTGTTACCCAAAATATGATTTTATTTATCTATTTTTAAATGCAACTGTATTGTTAAAAAGAAAATGAAATCAAAAACCCCACAAAGCCAAGCCAAAACTAAAACCAACCCTCAAGTGCCAACTAATCCAGAAACCTGCAAAACATAGAAAAGAGCCAGGTATTGCTATGGTCCAGCTCCAGCCTATGAAGCTTAATCACTGCATCAGTCTTTACTCATTCCTGGAAGAATTCTAGTCATTTATTGTTTTTCCTGTTCATTGAGTGAAAATTTCACGGCATAACTCTATGCTCATATTTATTTTAAACATTAAAAACGAATTTGCAAAACATCACTTTCTGCATTACAATGCACGGAGAAGAGTAAGATGTGCAAACCAAAAACCACCACAATTTTCCACATCTCAAAGTGAAAGGACTGCTTCATGCTACAGGCAAAAGTGGTTGCAGACTTTATAAAACCAGCATGTATCTCATTCAAGTTGATTGAAAAACAGAAAAGGAAATCAAAGCAAATTTAACAGTACTCTTCTCCACATATTGCAAAATGTGGTTATACAGATGAGGAAAGGATTAGTTCAGCTGCTAAGCTTATCTGACATGTATCTCTGTTGTCATGCCTTTCCTGTCCATTACTTAATAGATAAACTCAATTATATAGTTTCAGTTATGCACTAGCTAATTTTTAGGTTAATATACAAACTGTCAAGATGTAGCTTTTGATAAAATTCTACACTCTTTTCCAATTTTGAATCCTGAAGACACTTCAAAAATAAAGAACCCAAAACTGCTACCTGGAAGCATCCAAAAATACAGTTGTAGTTTCACTATGGACAAGTTGTAGTCCGTTAGAAAAGTAGATCATACATACAAAGGTATAAAGAACATTTAAGTCAGTCTCAGTGGAAGGCAGTCCTTGAAGGAAGCAATACTGCAAGCAAACTTGCTGAGTAGCACTTTCATTTTAGCCCTTGAGGGGCATGGAAGACTTTAGTGCTTTACTCAGTAGATTCTTCCTCGGCTACGATTGCCACGTCCTCCCCAGCCTCTTCCTCGGCCACCCCGGAAACCACCTCTTTGCTCTGAAATAGAAGTCAAAACTTTTCATGCAGGTTTTGTGCTTTGTGTAGGTTAAATAGCAATAACTGGAGGTACTGAAGGCTGACTGAAGTCTCTGAGGCTAACCCTGCTTAGACACCCTGAGATTTCAGAGTTATGCTTTGATGGACAATGGACACCACTAATTCAAAAGGAGGCCAGGAGAACTAGCCTCTCTAAACTACATGTAGTCCTTTGCATACTGACATTATGATAACAAACTGTCCCATTATTTTAGGACTATACTAAATAGTGGATTGGGCCAATCCACCACCACCAAACTGAACTAATAGATAGTGGATTGGGTCAATCCACTGTCACAAGATTGAAAACTGGTCTGTAAGGAACCTCATTAGGCTACTTAGCTCGTCCTTCTGTCCAGTAACACCATGTCTGTCTTGAGGTGTTGGTCTGAAGTGATTTGCTCCTAGTGACTTCACAAAATGATGGAAAACCACACCTTTATCAGTCTACTTGTCCTTTTCTACCCTTAAGTTATCGGCAGCATAAGTAAGTTTTTTTTGCTGGGCTGATATGTTAACTATATCAAATTAAAAATCTCAGACCTAAATAGATACCACACAAACTATTTGTATATTATAGAAGCGTTTTCCTTTCCCTTCATTAAGAACAATCCGATCACAGCAAAAAACAACCCCCAAACCTAAAAATACTTTGTTAAAGTTTCTTCGGATTTGTTTGAAAACATACCAAAATCTCCCCTCCATGCTTTCTCTTTATGCACAGTCTTAAAATACAAGTCTCATTAATCTACAAGGAGAACTATGTGCTTATGTTAAAGAGTGCAGACATCAAAAGCTGATCAGAGGCCTAAGCATCTCACTAATGAGAAACAGCAGCAACCAGTAAAACATTTGTGGTTGTAAACCTGATTTTTACAACTGTAGAACTACAAGCTGATCTTAAAAGACACAGATCCATCACCTGAAGCCTGCAGTAAGAAATTTGCCATAGACTTTATCTTTTCACTTTGTTTTATATGAAAGTCAGTGCTTTGTATCAGTTTTTCAGGTTATAGGCATGGATGATAACTTGTCATAGCGTCTGTTTACCTCACAGAGGTAGGACCAATGGGCCTACAAGGAAGGCAACAAGAACAGGTCACTGCCATCACTTGACCCATTCATCCAGTCTGCAACTACTCTCACATTTGCCCAGAAATACGACTTGCAGAGAGACAGAATCACTCTGACAGGGAGCATGAGGACATAACTGTGTGTATGCACAGTGAACCTGGCAACTCCTAACAGCTCTCCATCAGGTCCGCAACATCAGCAGTGGCTGTAATAGGAATTCAGAACCAGTCGTATGACAGGAGGTGGCCCAGCTCTGCCACTTGCAGCAACTGGTCTGTCCAATGGGAAATTTGGGGTGTAAGTGCTGTATGTCACAATAGAGAACACAACAGTTCAATTACTAACTCTATGTACTAAAACATTACTAAAACTAACTGGCAAAGGAAGTAGTTTATAGGCTGGTAACACTCAAACACTCTTAATAGATCAATGAGCTAGGAGACCATTACACACACAAATAGATGACAGTACAATTTGATCTTCCGAGAATGTGATAGTAAGCTGGCTTAATTTGTTCTCCCCACCCAAGGCACAACTGTCACTAGATAAAGTATTTCCACACTGCCTAACTTACCATAGGAAAAACTACCCAGGTTACTGCTGTATTTTCCACTGGGAGGATTATATATTTGCCTGGCATCCCTTTTTGGTCCTGCCGAAGCTTTCTTTGGGGGTGAACTTGAGGTTGTATCTTCACTTGTTCTTTTTTGACTGACAGAAGAAAACAAAAACAGATTATTATAACCCCTGTGGTGACAAGTACAGGAATAGCAGTTTAGTCTGAATGATGAACCACTGGAAGCTAGAAGCAGCCAATGAAGATGCCCTGAATAACACTTCAAAAGAGGAAGTAAGGTAGTCTCCTGTTGATTTGGTCTATTGTATCCCTAAATCAAGACTATCACTCCACAGCCTTAACTCCTTCCAGGATGGATGTTATTTTGGATTGTAAAACTTTTAGCTCACATGCTGTATATATTATATATACAGAGTTTGGGATCTTTATTTTGTAAACAGCCAAAATTAACACCGCTATTTTATTTTTTTTAATGAAAAACTCACCTTGCATCTGCCTTCTGCACTGGTTTCCAGGACAGTGTAACTGTACTTTTGTAGGAAGGAGGAATGTGGAAGAGATCCTATGGAGGCAAAAATCAGACAGTTTATTCTACAATTAAATTCCCATCAATTGCACTTCAAAACTGTAGCTACCTACTGAGACTCCAGAACAACAGTTACGTTCCAGTAATTTTAAATCCTTTTTGAAGTCTCATAGGAGAGGGAGAAGGTGGCAGTAGCCAACTGCCTTATCTGGCTGCCTTAGACTTCACTAGGAAATTCAAATGAGATTTATATTAACAAAGTAACGTCTTATACTGACGTTATATGCTTTTTCTCTCTCTCCCTTTGCACATCAAGCATCTTATAATGAACTACAGTGGCTTTTGCAGGGAGACATCTGATATCCCTATGATGGTAAAAGATAAGCCTCTCAATACTGTGTGTGGGCAAAGTTTTTGGTTCGTCATGGTGAGCAAGAGCGGAAGAGCAGAAAAGGTGGTTAGAACTAATCAAAATGGTTTTGAGGGCTCTTGATTGAAGTCTCTTTCTGCAACCCATCTCTTCTAAACTCTTTGCAGAAGAAGGCTCTGTGTGGCAGCTTGCTTTGCCTCCTCCGTCATTTACATCTCCTTGCACTTCTTCAAACTATTACTTACAGTCCCTGTCACTGCAGGAAAGGGAAATGGCAAGGAAAAAGACATGGCCAGAATCCAAAGACCCCTACAGCAAGGTCTTCTGCTCCTGTGGGTGACTAGTGCTGCAGAAAAGGCCTCATCACCCCATCCCAACAGCAGCAGCAAAGGCTAAGCAGCTTGCAAAAACAGCAGATCCGTGTGTCTTCAGAAACAGTAAAGCAGCAGCAACCCTGAGCTGGCCAACACCGACTAACAGCACAGTACAACTTTGATCAAATCTATTCCTTTTCCCTGCACAGATTACTCTACTGTGCATTTACTCCTTCACAATGCGAGGACTTACCTTGATTAAAACATTAATGTTGTTGGTTATTTTCAAGGCAACCACTTTTATCTTGTTCTGTAAAAAAAGAAACACCACTGAGCACCTATTCCAGGAAATTATGCCAACTGCATGTGACAAAGTTGTAGCATTAAACTGACTGCTCTTCCTAATGAATTGCTACAAGAATAGTAATAGTGAAAGGTGTGTACACTTCTGAGTTTTCATTACAACTATTTTTAGGCTTCCTGCAGTTTTACACTAGGTACTTTTAATGTTCCAGTGTACTTCTGACGAAATCCCTCTCCACATATAAAAATTTCCCCTTCAAAACAGAACCAGAGCACAGTTATGCCAAATATATGGAGAAACAGAGAGTAGCTAACAGTAGAAACTAAAGTATCACCTTAGCTTGCCAAATACAGCATTGGTTAAGATCCATTTGCAATAGATGTGAACAGTATTATTCCCTTTATCTGTCTGCCCGCTTACAACAGACTGCAGCCCATTAACATGTGCCAGTGATTACTGTGATAGGCTCAATTAGAGATCAGCATTCCTGAGCAATACTTACCTCCTCTGTTTTCAAAGCTTCTCCTGTTTTGCCTTGAAGCGCGAGACGAAGCTGTCGAATATACACCTGCAACCCTCGTGCAAAATACTGTAGCCTAAACAATTTAAAAGCAATCTGTTAATAAATTTTACATGCTTCCATAAAATAAGAGCATAAGCAAAGGGAAGCTATAATCTCTTTTTCTCCTCCTTTAGGAAAACACTCAATATAAAGTCTTCTACCAACCTGTTTTGTGCTTATTTAGCACCCAGGCAGTAATAATCCACATTTTCTAACAGAACCCTTAACTCTTGTCTCTAAATGATTACCTGATTTTAAAGTCTTTCAGTTTCTCTGCATTCAGCTTGGCTGTGAGGAAGTCCGGAAGCTTACGCCCCAGCTGATGGAAGCTGTACAACAAACACTCCACATAACTGAACTGCAACTTGGGCTCTTCACTGCCAGCATTTTCCCCATTCTCTGCTTCCTCTGGAGGAAGGGGCATATACTCCTAATGAACAGAAAGTAAAGCAAATGCATGAGATACATTTACACAGACTGACCGAGCTTTTGCAGTGTTTGAACTGGAGAGTTTATTTACTGACAATTTAAGAGGTATCCCTCATCTCTATATTAACACAATGAACCACTGCATGAAGTCCTGGTGCAGGTAGTTTGCCTACACTTAGGGGACTTGACACCTCAGACTCAGAGGTAACATTACAGTAGCACTGCTAGGATGGGAAGCAACAATGTACTTCACTAGTGCTGCTGAAACAGCACTGAATTTGCTTATAATTGTCAGTGCAGATACAGCCTTTCATGAGATCAGCATTATAAAATTAAGAACAAAACCACATGAGTTTACTGGATTAAAAACATTATGCAGGTAACAGCTCTCTATATCTATAAAGGGTTTGAATTGCAACATGTCCTTTATCACGGACAGAGCTATATTTGAAATAGCCACTTTAGAAAAAGAATTAATAGATTAATAGATAGAAATAACTTGTTTCAATGAGAACTTTTTTAAAGTGTTTTACAGGACTAAGAATTGAATGAGTCTTACCAGTAATTTGTCAAACAGCTTCTTCAAATTTGATTCAAGCTTTTCCATATCGCCACAAAATGAGCTCATTTCAGCAAGCAGCTTCAAAACCTACATGTTAAGGATAGCCAATTTCTGTGTGTTAACCAAAAAGTACTAAGGTTTAACTTTAAACCTAAAAGTGTAAACCTCACATCATTATTATGGCTGCAGAGCAGAGGTCAGCTATTACAATGAAACCCAAACATGAGGTAAGATGACAAGGAGGAACATGCCTGGTCTGTTTTTCATGTCCTCAAACAGAAACACAGGTTTGTGTGTCTAATCCCAACAGGCACCATTAGTCAACAAGTAAACAAAACTTCTTCTCCCACATCTGCAGCACAGCTCACCTTCAAAGTGTGGCTCAGAGACCTAACTGAAGCTGCAGCACTGATTAACGTAAGCAGAATTACAGACATGAAGCCACTCCCTTAGGAAGCAAAATTAACACAAGCTACGTGCTAATTCATGCAACAATCAGTTCAGTAACTGCTGTGTGCTTAAAAAAGATTGACAGCAATATAAAAATGATTACACTGATTTACTTATTCCAGCCTTGCCTCAAAGTTCGGGACTAATGACACATGCATTACAAGGCAATAGTCATGCCTCAGTACAGCGAACTTTTTTCCTAGTATAGCTACTTTCCCTCCAAGCCAAGAACGGAAAACCCCTTAAGAAAGGGCTTCACAATCTGTAAAATAGCTGTCTTCATCTAAGGTGCCTGTTTTTTACTATTTCAAAGACATTTTAGCTTTGGCTTACCTCTAACTGGATATCGAGACCCTCTACTGGTGTAGTCAAAGAACCAAGGTTGGGCAGAACGTGCTCACAGAAGTAAGTAACAAATTTTGTGGAATGAACATTTTTCTGCAGAGAACAACACATTATTCAGGTTACTCTTTGAGTGTGAAGGAGTTAAATGTTTTCCCCCATCACTCCACCAACACCAATAAGTGCCAACCACACAGCTACACCTTAAAGCTTTATTAAATTCCCTCTAACTCCTAAAACAGAGACACTCTTCCAAGTAGCTTAAACTCAGAGGCTGCCTGCAACAGGGGCTGAAAAGATTGCCTACAACTCAAGAACAGGCCTTTAAACACTGCAATTGCTTGGCACTAGGCATGAAATAATCGAACTCATACATGTATGAACCTGAGAATTTTATCATAATTCACTGTAACATCTTAAATCTGAAAGAAAATGTCAAAGAGCAGAGAATAACAAAAGCTCTTTGTATTCACAGGCTTTATGGACGTTTCTCAACATTTTATTACATTAGAAGCTGAAAGTGGAGAAGTACTGATACACTCTCATTCTAACATAATCACTGACAACACCAAAGAGAAACTACAGCCATTAACTTTCCACGATATTCCTCATGCAAAGCAAACAAATACATACTGAGAAGAGTGGCACTGCCTGCCGGGTACACTGCAGAAGCCTGTCCACACAGTCTGGATCAGATGGATTGAATGTTTGTTCCAGGTCAGCTTGCTCAGCCACCAGCTCCACTAGTTGTTGCCTCCCACTTACTGTCTGTAAGCTTTTTAATCCAGACAGTATTTTCATGAACAGAACAAATTCCTCACCCGTCACATCTTCCAGCACCTTAAGAGAATTCCAAAAAACGTATTTTTATGTTGGTAATTTGCAAATCCCCAAGTCAAACCCAGTCGATTTGAAAAGGTAAAGTATGCAAATATCAAGCATTTAAGTTTAGCTTCGAGTTATTTAAAGACATGAAAGTTGAAAGGAACACATGAAAACATGCAGTGTTAAGTGTATGCACCCCCAAATCAATGTAAGTACCATCAAGTTGTGCATGAGAAACATTATTTTTCTTGGATTCCAACTTTAAGAACAAGTTTCTTATTGCATGCTTCAGACAGAATAAATATTAAATGAATATCTAATCGTTATTAATTAATACTTTTTATATCTTTCTCAGCTTGTGGATGCACAAGAATCTCATGAAATTCAACAAAGACCAGTGCAAAGTCCTGCATCAGGGATGAGCTAACTTCCCTGCATCATCCCCCTGCATGTGCAGGACTAAGTGGCTGGGGTACTGTTCTGCTGAAAAGACCCTGAGAGTTGTGGGGGACAGCAGGATAAATGTGTCAGCAGCATTCCTTGGGTGATGAACAGTGGGCTGTGAAAAGAGCATGGCCAGTAGACTGAGAGAAGCAAAGGAACGGAGGATTCTCCTTTGCTACACCCTTATTAGACCAAATCTGGAATACTGCACCTAGTGTCAGGTCCTCCTGTATGAGGAAGTTGTTGATAAGCTGCAGAAAGCCCAGCCAACAAGGTTACCAGTGTCTAGAGAATGTGACCTGTAAGGAGAGGCAACCTAACTCCCATCTTCCAATAATGAAGAACAAGTCACCAAGAATAGGAGCCAGGTTCTTTACTGAGGTGGACAGAGTAAGAATGACACAATGATACAAAACTGAAATAGGAGATTCAACTGGATAAAGAGGTGTTATAAAGGTGTGTATAAAGAGGTGTATATATTAGAAGTGTTCAAAAGCCACTGGACAAAGCACTGAGAAATCCGATCTGAATTCAGCTGAGTATAATTCACTGAGGTGATCCATCTCCCAAAGTCCCCTTCCCATGTGAATGATTTTATGTTTCTAATAAAACTCACTCTTACAAAATGAGAAGAGCCTATTTTAATGTTCCTATAAAAACTGCTGCAAAGTTTGGACTGTAGCAGAACAGGGTAACTAGAAGCTTAACCCTACATGTGGTTTAAACAAACAGGCCTCCAAAGCAATGCCAGTGATAAGGCATGGCTTAATACTCCTTAAGGTTCTACTGAATTAAGACACTCACCTTCTTTGATTCAGTCAATATGAACTCTTCTACCTCCTTTGTCATCACCTCCTCAGGCAGGGTTTTCAGCTTTGTGGAGAGGAACTTGATGGCTCGTTCTCTCACAATATCCTCTCCCTGAAGAATTTGACTGAATAAGCCACCCAAAGTCCCTGAATGGAGAATGAATCAGGTAACACAAATGATTCTAGAAGTTAAAAGCTGAACCATCTCTGCAGAAGAAGTTTCCTCCTCTAAGACTCCATGACGCAGTTGAAAATAACTGCTACACTAACTTTGATGAAAAAATAATCATTTTCATATAGCTTGACATAAAAATCCACATTTTTTTCTTGGGCTGTACAACTCCAACCCAGAATGATTGAAAAATTCAGTATCTTTTGTAAAAACCAAGTGATGACTGTGTCTCACTTCTGAAGAGTACTAATGAGATACAACACTGAGTCCTTTTCTCATGGTACTAAAGACTGGGAACCATTATTAAAATACATTTATAGAAAAGAAGTGTCCTTTACCTTTAGCATCCATCTTAAATATACTGAGCAAAGCATTGTTCACCAAGTTGAATTCTGCAGAATCATCTGAAGAGAGAAAAAAGAACAATATGGATATCCTCGAAATGCAAATGTAAGAGCAGAAAACCAAAGAAAGATTTCTGGTATCACACAAGAAGTGTGTGATTCCATCCTCAGCATTTAATTATGAACAACAGAACTTGTATTTTTAATGACTACTAGACCAAGGAAGCAGAAAGCCACAACTATGAAAGCTGAAAGCAAAACAAAGAGGCTGTTTGCCACTTCAGCCTCTCTGCCAAAACTTTAACACCACAAACTTGAGAAGAATGAAAACCTGACAGGAAGTTATTATTAAATATATTTAGTAATTCTAAGGAACAGCTGAATAAACAAGATGATCTTTACTAAATTAAGGTAAAATATATAGAAAAATATATTATTTCTGTTTAAATTCTTAAGTAATCTACAGTATTCCTATGTGGAAGAAACAATTTTCCTTTTGAACTAGAGAAATGCTTAAGGCTCAAAAGAACCCCAACTCTTCCAAAAGACTTTAACACCGATTTGAACATCTAGTATTTAGCACTCTAGAACTTACTGAGATTAAAAAAACATGTATTGCGTATTAAATTTGGGATTTATTTTGTATCAAAGACACACTACATGGAAGAAAATGCCTTCGGGATTTTTAAAGTTCCTGAGTACTTGGATTTACAACCCAGTAACTTTTTCAGAAGGCAATTTGCTGCAGTCTATAACAGGAAAGGGTTTTGTTGTTGTGTCCCTCTCCCCTCCGTTCCCCTTTTTCTACAGGTGCTTTAAGAGAACTTGCATGAAAAAAGAAATGTTAACTTTAAAAGACAGATCTTCAGTTTAGATTAGGATAATTAGAGACCTCTCAGCAGAAGTAGCAGCAAATATAAAAGGGGTTTGAGGGTGGGGGTGGAAGAGCAGAAGCAGGACATGAAAGACACTGAGACAAACTGCTTTGTAACAAATCACGAATCAACAAAAGACATTTTCTAGAACAAAACTGTGTACATTTTAAGGTGTGCCACAACGAGATCAGCCAGAAAAGTACCAATGGCTCCTACCTGACTGCAGGAGCTGGGTCAGTATGTCTGCTACCCGAGGAAGATTGTCTCCAGTGGCAAACTGAGGCAACTCCTTGATTGCTTGTCGCCGGATCTGCCAAAATTGTCAATATTATGGAATCAATAAATTTAAATAATAAAAAAAATTAACAACTCAGGCAATTCAACTACCAAAGTTTAGCAGAAAAATCAGCCAAATTTGAGAAATAAACCCCAATAAAACCAGGAGTATCATATTCAGAAAGCGATGTACAAATTTCAGATTTCAATGGCAGTTTAAACTTCCCATTTGCTATCATCTATTTAGGAAGAAAATAGTGTCTTTTTCTCAGATCTAAGCAACACTGGAGAAAAACCAAATTCAAACAGCACCTCCATTCACAAAATCATTCATTCGATCAACAAAATACAGGGCTGTGTTACTGTGGAGTCTCATCTGCTGACAGGAAGGATAGTTTTACAGCTGTGCACATGGCAGATTTAAGCTCTAGGGTTTTATTCCCAGCACTGACAAAATTCCCTGAATCTGCCCAAATCATTTAGCATTTGTTAACCAAAGTTGCATCAAAGGTACAGCTTCTGGCAACACCACAGAAGCAGCACGAAGTACCTCAAGACTTCTGCAAGAATACTACACTCTTGCCTCCCAGTAGGATTTTATCAGGATCAATTATCACAAGACCTTTATGAAAGGAAAAAATGTAATAGATGTGCAAATAAACTTTTGTTTCTATGTTTCTTTCTACAGAGCTATTCCTTTGATCAGGAAAAGGACAAATGAAAACTAATACATCTTCCCATACCATCACATAACGGGAAGACAACTAAGTATTGTTAAGTTTGCAAAGATCAACCCTCCCCTCCCAAATGACATAGCCTATAACAAAAGAATAATAAAAATATAAATTCAATGGATCAACTTGCTACAAGGTTCTTATTCTTACAGAAACATCTTCATCCTCACAGAGGTCCAACTGGGCATTGATAGCTGAGTCAGCCAGCTCAGGAAAATGCTTGAAGAACTTAGGAATAAACTGGGCTGCAAGTCTCTTCTCCTTGGCACCTCCTTTCACACCATCCAAGATCACCTGGTATGCATCCTTATGCTGGAAGAGGGAAAACAGAACACAAATAGAGAAATCTTGGCTTATTCTCCAGGCAAGGAAAGGATTTTTCTCTCTCCCATTCACTTCAGCTGTTTAGGTGAACTATATTACACAAGCTTCATACAAAGAAATACATTTATCTCTTAGACCAGTATAACTGTACCATTTAGTAAAATCTGCCTCTATTGCCTGGTTTTTACTGTTACTCTGGTTCCTTTGTCCGTTCAAGTGCCTACTATTCAAACTGCCCAAGGCTAACAGCTCTTGCTATTACATTAGTGCAGACCCAAGGAATTACATGATCTGCTTTCTGTCTGCTTGCCTGTCATCTCTCAAGGAGAGGTTACTTCTCCCAACAACAGTGCCACTGGAATGGATCACGAATAACTTTTAACATATATTGGGCTAAAGCATCTTTGGCATCTATTCAAGCAGTTAACTCAATGTGAGATAAAATACAGCTCTTAAAAGATGTGTTGAACAGAGACTAGGTAAAAAAACAAGGGGAAATTCCCAGTTGAAATACAGAAATAACCACTTCAGAAACAAAGCAGAATATTCTCTAACTGCTCCAACTAGAATCACACTGACATTTTTGATTTTGTGCCTGCTGGACTGAAACTTTAGAACAAATGGAAGTCTTTGTTGTGGTTAGCCATGTGTTTGCAAAAGGAAAATCAGTATTATTAGGATAATAGCAGAAATCAGAATATTCTAGCATTAATTTTCCTTATGGTTGTGAAAAGAATGCTTTAGACAACTTATCCTACTTTGAACAGCAGCAACAACAGCAGAGGATACTTGATTTACATTAAATTTCCCAGAGCCACATACATTGTCACCCTTAAGCATAAAAGTTCACCCAGAGCAAACAGATTCTAATGTACAAAGCAGCACACTGATTTAATTCTCTCTAAAGGAAGCTGTGTTTAAACATTCAATACCGATGCTCCTTCAACACTCCCTACACCTTGTGGATAGGTGTGCGTGGTGCCAGATTCTGAACTGGATTGGGGCATGGATCTGGAAGAAAAATAACCAAGGACTAACATGATTGATTTTCAGCTGATCCACATCCCCTCTGGTTTGTTCTGCAGCTGTGCCAACACAGTGCACTCAACAGCAAAGGCAGGAACGAGCCAGCACAAGCTAACAGTGTGATACACGTTATTACAGTCACAGGTTCTCAGACTGCATGTTAAGAATAACTTTTCTGGGGAACAAATTACTTAATACATATTAAAATAGCAGTCATACAGCAATGGAACAGAGTAGCTTGTGTTCCATGAATTTATATGACTTCGTGCTTACTACTCCTGTCATTTAGGCAAAGTGCAGCTCAGGCAGGAGCTTGGAATGCTCAAGAAAAAAGCAGGCAACTGCAGAAGCAGTGTGATCCTTCAGTTTTCCATGTTCCCTTCCAATGTGTTAACACAAGAACATCCTAAGCCAGAGACGGTGTCAATAACTGTCAACTGACCATTACTTTCTCTAGATTACTTCTTGAACCAATTCATGCTCTGTAATATCCCGTGACAAGTTGCACAATGTGTTACAGAGAAAAGTTTGTCTTCCTCTTTATTTTAAGCCTGCTTCCTAATAGGTTTTTTCAAGTTCTCACCTTCATTCTCCTCCTGAGTAGACTCATCACACCTGAGTCTCAACTGAAACACTTTCACAAGCTCAACACTTCCAGTGCTTCAAATTATTTCACTTAATGTCATACTTCTGTTTGTCCCCTTGCTCTTCTTGTTGTGTCCAAATGATTTCATTTTTGAGACAGGGTGACTATGATTTTTTTGTAGTGCGAGATCAGGTTCATGAAGTTAATAGATAATAAAGGAGCAAGTGGAATAAAACTGATGAATAAGGAACAATTGCTCATGGCTTCTGAGAATGCAAAACTTGCAGACATCAAATAAGATTATGAGATGACCAGTTCAAAGGGGGTAATTTCTTCACAAAGGCTAATAGAGTATTTTGCCACAGAACATTTGTAGGCCAGAAACGTAATCAGTTAAAAAAAAAGGCATCAGAAAAGTTTGCTGAAGAACAATCTAGCAAGATACACTAATCACAAAGACACTATCTCTGGCTCCAGAAGCCCACAAGCTGGAGAGAGGCAGTACTGGAAGAGTGAATCAGGAATCATCACTCTACACTTACCCTTGGAGGCTCTTACACATCTGCTACCCTGTCACAGGCTGCACTTGTTAACTACACTGGAGTTTGTTCTCCCCAAGATATCCATTCCTGCCTCACAAAAGCTACCCACAACTGTCAGAACGATGACAGACTATGCATTTGTAACACAGCACAGTAACAGCATCTGTTTCATTCTGCATCTCTCCCATAGTTTCCAACATTTTCGGCACATTTCTTGGTTGGCTCCGAGATGATGTTTTTGATGGACTCTCTGCAAGGATGCTTTGTTTCACTAATTATACATTTCACTATAATTACACATGCAAAACGAATGGACTTAATCTAAAAAGCTCAAAAAAAGCCCCAACAACACAACACCCAACCACCAACTATATTAACTGTTCTCCTGAAGAACTTTCAAATGACCTTGCATAGTAGTATCCAGTTTAAAACCCACTGCCAGGTATGTGCAAAGCTACTTTCCTCCTTAGATATATTACGACAAAAGAATAATTAATAAACAATCTGCTTTTTCAGATAGCCACTCAGTAAAGTGAGCACATAATGCAACTCAAAAACTAGCTTCAAGTAAACATAATGTTTTGCACTGGTAACGTATGAAGGCATCCCCTTTCTTAGATTAATTCAGTAATGGTATAAAATCCTGCAGATCTCGCCAGGATTTTACAGCTAAAAACCCCCTTTATCCATGAGGATCAACCTTCCATTCTTGCCTTAGGAAAAGGTAAAAGGGCTAGAGGCAGTTATCAAACCCTAACAGCCTTCGCCTTCCTCCAACAAGC